GAGCAGAAAGAATATATGAAAATCTTAGCTGAGGATGAAAACACATCTGAAGAAGTGCTCCAACAACTTTACCAAACCCATACTACCAGAGCCCTGTCAGCAGTGGAGAAGACATTGTTTCTGAATGTGCTGTCACAGCATGCAGAGATCCATGGTAGTTGTCGTTCTGCTGCAGAAGGAAATGCTGTGATTCTTTTACAATATTTCTTAACAAGCAGTGACATCACTGACTCAGAGCAGTCAAAATGTATGAAAATCTTAGCTGAGGATGAAAACACATCTGAAGAAGTGCTCAAACAACTTTACCAAACCCACAAATCCAGAAGCCTGTCAGCAGGAGAGAGGACATTGTTTCTGAATGTGCTGTCACAGCATGCAGCAATCCATGGTAGCAGTTATTCTGCTGCAGAAGGAAATGCTGTGATTCTTTTACAAGATTTCTTAACAAGCAGTGACATCACTGACTCAGAGCAGAAAGAATATATGAAAATCTTAGCTGAGGATAAAAACACATCTGAAGAAGTGCTCCAACAACTTTACCAAACCCATACTACCAGAGCCCTGTCAGCAGTGGAGAAGACATTGTTTCTGAATGTGCTGTCACAGCATGCAGAGATCCATGGTAGCAGTTATTCTGCTGCAGAAGGAAATGCTGTGATTCTTTTACAATATTTCTTAACAAGCAGTGACATCACTGACTCAGAGCAGTCAAAATGTATGAAAATCTTAGCTGAGGATGAAAACACATCTGAAGAAGTGCTCAAACAACTTTACCAAACCCACAAATCCAGAAGCCTGTCTGCAGTAGAGAAGACATTGTTTCTGAATGTGCTGTCACAGCATGTAGAGATCTACAGATACCAGTGGTACAGATATACATATTTTGCTACAGTTGCAAAAGGAAATGCTGTTATATTGTTGCAATATTTTTTAACAAGTAATGACACCACTGACTCAGAGCAGAAAGAATATATGAAAATCTTAGCCAAGGATAAATACACATCTGAAGAAGTGCTCAAACAACTTAACCAGACACATACCACTAGAGCCCTGTCAGCAGTGGAGAAGACATTGTTTCTGAATGTGCTGTCACAGCATGTAGAGGTCTGTGGTAGCTGTTATTCTGCTGCAGAAGGAAATGCTGTGATTCTTTTACAAGATTTCTTAACAAGCAATGACATCACTGACTCAGAGCAGTTAAAATTTATGAAAATCTTAGCCAAGGATAGATGCACATCTGAAGAAGTGCTCAAACAACTTTACCAGACCCACAAATCCAGAAGCCTGTCAGCAGTAGAGAAGACATTGTTTCTGAATGTGCTGTCACAGCATGCAGAGATCCATGGTAGATGTCATTTTGCTGCAGAAGGTAGTGCTGTGATTCTTTTACAAGATTTCTTAACAAGCAGTGACATCACTGACTCAGAGCAGAAAGAATATGTGAAAATCTTAGCTGAGAATAAAGACACATCTGAAGAAGTGCTCAAACAACTTTACCAAACCCACAAATCCAGAAGCCTGTCAGCAGTAGAGAAGAAATTGTTTCTGAATGTGCTGTCACAGCATGCAGAGATCTATGGTAGATGTCGTTCTGCTGCAGAAGGAAATGTTGTGGTTCTGTTACAAGATTGCTTAATAAGCAGTGACATCACTGACTCAGCGCAGTCAGATTGTATGAATATCTTAGCCAAGGACAGGTGGACATCTGAAGAAGTGCTCAAACAACTTTACCAAACCCATACTACCAGAGCCCTGTCAGCAGTGGAGAAGACATTGTTTCTGAATGTGCTGTCACAGCATGCAGAGATCCATGGTAGCAGTTATTCTGCTGCAGAAGGAAATGCTGTGATTCTTTTACAAGATTTCTTAACAAGCAGTGACATCACTGACTCAGAGCAGTCAAAATGTATGAAAATCTTAGCTGAGGATGAAAACACATCTGAAGAAGTGCTCAAACAACTTTACCAAACCCACAAATCCAGAAGCCTGTCAGCAGTAGAGAGGACATTGTTTCTGAATGTGCTGTCACAGCATGCAGCAATCCATGGTAGCAGTTATTCTGCTGCAGAAGGAAATGCTGTGATTCTTTTACAAGATTTCTTAACAAGCAGTGACATCACTGACTCAGAGCAGAAAGAATATATGAAAATCTTAGCTAAGGATGAAAACACATCTATAGAAGTGCTCCAACAACTGTACCAGATCCACGACTCCAGAACCCTGTCAGCAGTAGAGAAAGCATTGTTTCTGAATGTGCTGTCACAGCATACAGAAGTCCATGGAAGCTGTGACAAAGCTGCAGAAAGGAATGCTGACATTCTGTGACAGTATTTTTTCACAATAATTAACACTTCAGACATAGAGCAGTTAAGGTGCATGGATATCTTAGCGAAAGACCAGCTTACATCAGAATTGGTTCTGAAGCAGTTTTGTAAGCATTATACTATTGAGGACATCCCAGAATCAATATTCCTAGATGTGCTGTCACAGCATGCAAAAGTACATGGACTAAGTCTGAGTGCTACTTTATGTGATATGGAGATGATGCTTACTATAACTGATATCTTTATGCAGCACTTGGCTTCTCAAAGATTTTATATATACAATTCTCGTAAAACACCATTAGAATTCAGTTCAAGTGATGCCAGGGGAATGGCTGCATGGAAAAGCATCTTTGAAAAAGAAGAGTCCCTTTCCATGAAAGCATTGGAAAAGTTGCTTCAATACCACGAATCTGGTGATCTTTCACTTGAGGGCTGGAAACTTATGTCAGACTTGACATGCCAACATATCAAAGTTCATGGACGAGAAAGTCTGCCATCTTCTTTAAGAACATGGCATGTAAACTTTAGCACCAACTAGCAAGAATTATGGAACATCCGTATGACAGAAATATGCTTGAGGCAAAATTTAACTCTATGTGAGAGCAAGCAAGTTGTGTGCTGCATCAGCACTTTAATGGTCATATACAATTATACAAACACTGAAAACTTCATACATTGTTAAAATATAATAATAATGGAAAAGATACAGGCATAATGGAAATGCATTATGAACTAGTCTGATCACAATCTTAAATATGCGACACCAATACTTCACCTTTTATATATGATTTGGTTAATATTCTTTAATTACTTATCTTTTGAGAATTTATTTTTGTAAAATGTTACCAATGCAGCTTGCACCAACCCAGATAGCATCTTTGGTCTTGCAGAAAATGTGAGCTATGAAGTTTAAAGAAAACTCAGTTGGTGAGTCTACGCATTTACTGAGACACTTGTGTTGTACAAAAATTCTGATTAAAGAGAATGTTTAAATGTGTAACAAAATTGATAATGAAATTGTTAATTAATTTTGTTAATTGTTAATTAATTAATTAATTGTTAATTAATTTTGTTATAGGTCACTGGAGGAGACAATTTATAATTTAACTCAATGTTGGTTTCTAGTTTATTGCATGCATTTTTTTCATAAGCTTTTTTACAAATACATGTACTTGTTATGATAAGAAAATTATTTTAGCGGTCTGTCTCTGTTTGATGCCATCTTAGTAAATTTCTGTGAACAGCTTATTCTTTACTTTGCTGTAATATTAATTACAGGGCAAAATAATGTAATTTTTTGCTTTTATAACTGCAGCAGATTTTGTAGCATACCTTTTCTTTATTTATAAAGGAATATTTCCAAATAATATTATTTGTTTTTGTTTTTACTGCAATTTAATGTTAACATTCCTAACAATTAGTTGGCAGAGGAGAAACTACAGAAGCTGTGTCTTACTTTGTACTTTTGAATCACTAACTTTCCATGGTACTTCACATTTAGCAACTGATCATAAGATCTTTGTAAGTCCATGGGAACAGTAATTGAGACTGTAGTCTTAGGGCCTGTTCAGAACCAGTTGATCTACAGACTAACTAGTCCATGGGAACAGTGATTGAGACTGTAGTCTTAGGGCCTGTTCAGAACCAGTTAATCCGCAGACTAACTAGTCCATGGGAACAGTGATTGAGACTGTAGTCTTAGGGCCTGTTCAGAACNCTCACCTGTGTAATCACAACATTGCACTGAGATCCTCTACCTGCCTCTATAAACTCACCTGTGTAATCACAACATTGCACTGAGATCCTCTACCTGCCTCTATAAACTCACCTGTGTAATCACAACATTGCACTGAGATCCTCTACCTGCCTCTATAAACTCACCTGTGTAATCACAACATTGCACTGAGATCCTCTACCTGCCTCTATAAACTCACCTGTGTAATCACAACATTGCACTGAGATCCTCTACCTGCCTCTATAAACTCACCTGTGTAATCACAACATTGCACTGAGATCCTCTACCTGCCTCTATAAACTCACCTGTGTAATCACAACATTGCACTGAGATCCTCTACCTGCCTCTATAAACTCACCTGTGTAATCACAACATTGCACTGAGATCCTCTACCTGCCTCTATAAACTCACCTGTGTAATCACAACATTGCACTGAGATCCTCTACCTGCCTCTATAAACTCACCTGTGTAATCACAACATTGCACTGAGATCCTCTACCTGCCTCTATAAACTCACCTGTGTAATCACAACATTGCACTGAGATCCTCTACCTGCCTCTATAAACTCACCTGTGTAATCACAACATTGCACTGAGATCCTCTACCTGCCTCTATAAACTCACCTGTGTAATCACAACATTGCACTGAGATCCTCTACCTGCCTCTATAAACTCACCTGTGTAATCACAACATTGCACTGAGATCCTCTACCTGCCTCTATAAACTCACCTGTGTAATCACAACATTGCACTGAGATCCTCTACCTGCCTCTATAAACTCACCTGTGTAATCACAACATTGCACTGAGATCCTCTACCTGCCTCTATAAACTCACCTGTGTAATCACAACATTGCACTGAGATCCTCTACCTGCCTCTATAAACTCACCTGTGTAATCACAACATTGCACTGAGATCCTCTACCTGCCTCTATAAACTCACCTGTGTAATCACAACATAGCACTGAGATCCTCTACCTGCCTCTATAAACTCATCAATGATGAACTGCGGAACCTGAGGATGAAAAAAAAAACAAAAATTAACATATTAGCAAAGAAAATTTCATTATGGGAGAAAATATCAAATTTTGCTTAATAAGGTATCTGCTATGCATAATTTTTAAATCAGCCAGAAGAAAATAAAAATTCACCTAAATTGATGATAAATTGGTGCATTTAATATTTCAATCAGGTATTTCTAGTCAATATATTAAAGTTACACCTGTCTTGGGTTAACAATTTAAAAATACCTTAAGTGCTGCAGTCATTTATCTAGACTACTTCAAACAGGCGAAATGGTTAAATTAAGTGTCTGTTGACACCTTCAACCCCTCTCTATCTACAACATCATTATCTCTTACCTGGGTGGTCTTACCACATCCAGTGGCTCCTCTTATTAAAGTCACAGGACTACGATGAATTGTTCTTAATATTTCCTCCTTGTATGAATGGACAGGCAGTTCTCCTCTCTCTCTCATCATCTAGACAAAAGAAGATTAGATCATTTAAGTTTATAAAATCACAATATGCATTTATTCAGAGTAGTAATGTGCATTGACAATGAAGTGGGTTGCTGTTCATTGAATTTCAGTACATTTATGTTGTATCATTATGTAAAAGTTATATGATTTATAACTGAAGTCTTCCAAGCCAAGATTTTCCCTCAAAAATCTTGTGTTTAACTAATTTTACCGAGTAAATAACATTTATTCTTACATTTTTGATGCTCCCCGTGACTCTGTTACAATTTAGGTAAAAGAAAAAGATCAAAACCTATGCTAAAACACAGGTTTTCCAAATACACCATTCATTCAATTACTTGATCTCTGGATATTTGAGACTTGTGCTATTTTTAAACTGTCACGAAATGGCTGAAAACCGACTCTAAGGGATGATGAATATGATTATTTTTTGCAATATTGATAAAGGCCATCTATCTGTCAGTTTTTCTTCTAAAAGCTTTAATTGTCCACAGAAAATTCAACGAGCAGCCATTCATGCACTCAGAATGTGTTTAAAATCCTTCCTATAAAGGTGAATCACAAGCCCAGTTTTGATGGTTTTTACATGGAGAACAAATGACTCCATCATGTATCCATCCTAAATGCATGTTAAACATGAATATAAGTTCTATTACACATGGATTAAGGGAAATAAAAACAGACAGACAAAACTTGAGACCTTGATCCATTTTCCTCTGCTGCTCCATACCACTAAGTAAATTAGATCCTATTTGCTCCATTGTGGCCTGTAAAAATGAATGCTTTACTCATAGACTGTCTATATTTTATGATTGTTTTTACCTACAGTTCACAAAGCATACTCTGGTCTTCTAGACAGTCTTAAAAGCCTTGGAAAAAACAACTAAATGCTTGTGAAATAAATCTGCTTATTTGTCTGGTGTGAAGAAAACACTCACAAAGGCCAGTGGACCCTCATCTATATTACATGCTGTCCATGGGTTCCAGTTCTGCTGAGGGGGAGACCAGGACACTATGCCCTCCATACTCTTCCTGGAGTCTTCAAATTCCTCTAGTTTCTGCTTCACTAGCAGGCTGAGAGAGAGAAAGAAAGAGAGAGGAAAAGAGAGAGAGAGAGAGACAGAGAGAGAGAGAGAGATCTCACCTAAGAAACAATCTGGATTTGCAATGTCTGTTATAAAGAGATCACTTGTTGTTCAACTTCTGGGAATATTGCCACATTTTATCATCGTAAAATAAGGCATAAAAAAAGCACCAAAACATTAATCTTATTAGTCCATTTTAAAATAACATAAAAAAGCACATTCCAGTAAACAAATTTTTGTAATGATATCTTTCATAATAATGGAGTTTTCCAAATGAACATGCCTTTTTACAAAACAAATTGCCATTCAACAAGTCTACATCTTTAAACAAAAATATGGTTTGGCACATTTGGGGCAACTGCCAAAGTTATTACACGGTGACAGTGGCAATGGCATGAAATAAGTAAAATCTATATTCTTAGTTTTCAAAGATTTCACCCCTATATCAACAAATAAAGTTGACAAGAAATATTTAAGGACATCACAAAGTCTTTCATTTTGAGAATCACATAGATTCTAGTCTTAAAGATCATATCATTTCTTTTCGCAGAACTTCTGAGAAAACTTCTGAACTGTTGTCAACATTTTTAAGTAACATGGATTTGCTGTCATATTTAGAATTTTTTTTTTATCTTATTTAATTTTAAATTTTAGTGTTATTAATTTTTTAATATTTAAAATGACCTTGCAACATAATTGCATTAAATGATTGTACAATTGTGTCAATCAACGTCATTGAATTGAATATATGCATGTAATTTATTTGTATATTAACCGAGGAAAAATACAAACAACCCATGTGAATTATTTATGTAATGTGGTTACTCCAAATGAATTGATGTTGTCTTATAATTTTAATTTTTATCTATAGCACATTGAACAACAAAATTCACTTTGTATAAAAATAACAATGCAGATAAAATTTGTAAAGTATTACATGGGGCATTTATATTTTTCGCTCAGTGCATGTATTTCGTGCCAGAGAGAAGATTTGTAGAAAGGTATTATAGCTGCCGTCATCACCACTGAGTCAATATTGGTCAGCTGTTGTGCTTTGTGGGAATATGTTATTATGATTTTTAAAGAAGCCAAATTTCACATACTCCACATTCGTGAAAATCAGAACTGATAATCAAAATGGTGAAATTAGAATTAAATTCTCATATAGGCTATTTCTCATACAAATAAGGTTTTTTCCCCAAAGCAATTATCCTTTATTATACAATTTTCAATAATTGGTAATTTATGACTTGATCTTTTCATTGGGGGAAACTTACCTTAAAACTGAACTTTTACATTTATAATTTTGGATATAATATTTTCTTGTGTAACATTTGTGGTTATTTCACTATATAGAATAGAAACACAAGGTGGCCTGTTTTTCACTTTTATTGCTACATGTACCACTCCATAGGAATAATGTAATTTCAATTATCTAGCTATGACTTTAAAATGTTGTATCTGTAAAATTGTTCCATATTGCAAACATCAAGTAAATGTAATATATTCTGCAAATTACAATCATTTTGCAACATAAAGTATTGCATTTTTCAGGGAGGATGGACACCCTAGCCTTTGGGTGACATGACTGTATGGTGTAACACTTATATAAATGTTTTCTGTACATTTGCACATGTACACTGTACACTTGCTCCCTGTGTTACATACTGCAGACATCTAAACATATGAAAACTCATGACAGACAAAAGAGGTGAGGTTTATGAAGAATGAGGAATAAAGCATTGTGCAGATATATACAGGGTGGTGCTATATCAGTTCTGGAGAGAAATTAGGTGTCACCAAGTCTTTCTCAGACTTATTTTATTGTATTTTTACTCCGATCAAATGAGGTGTAAGAACAATTTTGCCTATGAATTGTTTAAAACTATGAAAAACGTTTTCATAATACACATTTGAAATATCCACTGAAATATCCATTAGCAGGCAGTTTCTCTCACATTAAAGTTTTCACATATTATTTCACACCCCTGTTCAAAATATTAAAATCCTCCTCTGTTGAATCCACCCCTAAATCCACCCCTTCCTCTGGGAAATCCACCTCCAAATCCACCTCTTCCTCCACCAAACCCGCCTCTTCCTCCTCGGAATCCACCTCTTCCAAATCCTCCCCCTCGGCCACCAAATCCACCTCCAAATCTTGGTCCTCCTCCAAATCTAGGTCCCCCTCCAGGACCCGAGTGGAACCTTTTTGGAGGTGGTGGGCCAAATCCTGGGCCACTGTGAAAAAAAAGAGATCAGAATTAAAACCATTTTAAAAAATCATCAAACATATACATTTCAAATTTTAATACCTAATTAGTAAAAATATGAAACAGGAAGCACTCAGAAGTTTTGTCAGGCTAAATTGCTTCTCTGTTTTCACACTTGTTTCCTTTTTAAATAATTAATAGGTGAAAATGGAGAAATGATAATTTCTAAATGAAAAAAAAAACATTGCTAGTAATGGCAGAGGTCCAAATGAACATATAAACTGATATCACATATGTACTGTACCAGTATGACAGTGTGTAAGGAGTGATGGCATTACAGTCAAGCTAGAAATATCAACACACCATCTATATATATTTCTTCATAATAGCATTACCAAAAATCCCCAATCTATATAAAATGGAACTAAATATAGACATATATCACTCAACACATTACTAGATATTATACCAGTTATGAGAAACACTCACCCTGCTGCCGTTTCTTTCCCAGAGTAATTATTCTCCACTCCAAAGCTGCCAGCATTTGGCCTGGACAGCGCCCTGAACACCTGCATCAGTTGCTCATCCAGTGGCATGGGTTGTGCAGTGCCCTCAGGATCTGTGGTAGCTCTGATATTCAGGGCCTCCAGGGCAGGACGGAGGGCCACTATCTTGGCTGCCTGGCTAAATGGCATCTTCAGATTTAACCTGTAGGTGGACATATGACAAGAAGGGAATGAATTTGACTGTGCATGTGCATGTCTGAATAAAGTGATTGAATACAGTTTACTTCACTTATATGTACATGTGTTGTTATTTTCTTAATTTCTAAAATCTCATCCTTTTTTTTCCATTTCCAAGTTGCCACCTTTGACTTTTTGATGTACAAAATGAGTATTATTTTCAAACTTTTTATATCAGTTTCTGTAAAGTATTGGCTAATAAAAAAAAAAAAAAAACAATCACAATCTCAAATTACATTACATAGTCCCAATACTAATTTCTAACAACTGGATACACTATATTAAGAACTTTGTATATTAAGGACTACATATATTTAAAACATANTCTGTTCAGAACCAACTGATTCGCAGACTAACTAGTCCATGGGAACAGTGATTGAGACTATAGTCTTAGGGCCTGTTCAGAACCAGTTGATCTGCAGACTAACTAGCCTACATGGGAACAGTGATTGAGACTGTAGTCTTAGGGCCTGTTCAGAACCAGTTGATCTGCAGACTAACTAGTCCACATGGGAGGTGAGAATCCAGTGTGCACCATATTTGATCCGGGGACTAGTTAGTTTACAGATCAACTGATTCTGAAAAGGCCCTTAATACCAATGTCTTTGATATCTGATAAGCAAATTAAGATGTTCCACATAATATGGGATATTGTTGGAAAAAAACAATTCTGCAGTTGACATTTACTGTGTATCCCTATTCAATACTGAAACATATGATACTGAAACACATTGCTTTGGTATAACAAAAACTCAGATGTGTATTTACATCATTCTCACAATTGAACCCTGAAATAAATCATAACTGATAATGACAGGGTAAAATTTGCTGATCTGTCTCCTAAGAAGAAAACACTCACAAAGGCCAGTGGACCCTCGTCTATATTACATGCTGTCAATGGGTTCCAGTTCTGCTGAGGGGGAGACCAGGATACTATATGCCCTCCATACTCTTCCTGGAGTCTTCAAATTCCTCTAGTTTCTGGTTTACTATTAGGCTGAGAGAGAGAGAGAGAGAAAGAGAGAGAAAAAGAGAGAGAGATCTCACCTTAGAAACAATCTGGATTTGCAATGTCTCTTACAAAGATGTCACTTGATGTTCAACTTCTGGGAAAATTGCCACATTTTATAATCTTAAAACTAGGCATAAAAAGTCATTAAAACATTATTCTTATTGCTCCATTTTAAAAATAACATAAAAAGGCACATTCCAGTAAACAAATTTTTGTAATAATATCTTTCATAATAATGGAGTTTTCCAAATGAACATGCCTTTTTACAAAACAAATTGCCATTCAACAAGTCTACATCATTAAACAAAAATATGGTTTGGCACATTTGGGGCAAATATTGCCAAAGTTATTACACGGTTACAGTTGCAATAGCAAGAAAATATGTAAAATCTATATTCTTAGTTTTCAAAGATTTCACCCCTATATCAACATATAAATATTTAAAGACATCAGTCTTTCATTTTGAGAATCACATATATTCTAGTCTTGAAGATCATATAATTTCTTTTCGCAGAACTTCTGAAAAACTTCTGAACTGATGTCAACATTTTTAAGTAACACGGATTTGTTGTCAAATTTAGAATTTTTTTTATCTTATTTAATTGTAAATTTTAGTGTTATTATTTTTTAATATTCAAAATGACCTTGCAAATAATTGAGTTAAATGATTGTACAATTGTGTTAATCAACGTCATTGAATTGAATACATGCACATAATTTATTTGTATATAAACTGAGGAAAAATACAAACAACCCATGTGAATTATTTATGTAATGTCTAATGGGCAACTCTAAATGAATTGATGTCTTATAATTTTAATTTTCATTTATAGCACATTGAACAACAAAGTTCACTTTGTATGATTTAAACATAACAATGCAGATAAAATTTGTAAACTATTACATGGGGCATTTATATTTTTTGCTCAGTGCGTGTATTTGGTGCCACAGAGAGGATTTGTAGAAAGGTGTTATATAGCTGCTGTCATCACCACTGAGCCAATATTGGTCAGCTGTTGTGCTTTGTGGGAATATGTTATTATGATTTTTAAAGAAGCCAAATTTCACATACGCCACATTCGTGAAAATCTGATAATCAAAATGGTGAAATTAGAATTAAATTCTCATATAGGCTATTTCTCATACAAATAACGTTTTTTCCCCAAAGTTGCATTTTCTATCAGCAATTATCCTTTATTATACAATTTTCAATAATTGGTAATTTATGACTTGATCTTTTCATTGGGGGAAACTTACCTTAAAACTTATCTTTTACATACATAATTTTGGATATAATTCTTCTTGTGTAACATTTGCAGTTGTTTCACTATATATATATGGAATAGAAACACAAGGTGGCCTGTTTTTCACTTTTATTGCTACATGTACCACTCCATAGGAATAATGTAATTTCAATTATCTAGCTATAACTTAAAAAAGTATCTGTAAAATTGTTCCACATTGCAAACATCAAGTAAATGTAATTGCCATATTCTGCAAATTACAATCATTTTGCAACACAGAGTATAATGCATTTTTCAGGGAAGATGGACGCCCTTTGGGTTACATGACTGTATGGTAACACTTATAAAAATGCTTTCTGTACGTGTGCGCATGTATGCTACATACACTTACTCCCTGTGTTACATGCTGCAGACATCTAGACATATGAAAACTCATGACAGACCAAAGAGGTGAGGCTTATGAAGAATGAGGAGTACAGCATTGTACAGATATATACAGGGTGGTACTTATCAGTTCTGGACAGAAATTAGGTGTCACTGAGTCTGTCTCAGACTTATTTTATTGTATTTTTTACTCCGATCAAATGAGGTACGTAAGATCAAATTTGCCTTCGAATTGTTTAAAACTATGAAAAACTTTTTCATAATACACATTTGAAATATCCACTGAAATATCCATTAGCAGGCAGTTTCTCTCACATTAAAGTGTTCACATATTATTTCACACCCCTGTTCAAAATATTAAAATCCTCCACTGTTAAATCCACCCCTAAATCCACCCCTTCCTCCGCGAAATCCACCTCCAAATCCACCTCTTCCTCCACCAAACCCGCCTCTTCCTCCTCGGAATCCACCTCTTCCAAATCCTCTTCCTCGGCCACCAAATCCACCTCCAAATCTTGGTCCTCCTCCAAATCTAGGTCCCCCTCCAACACCCGAGTGGAACCTTTTTGGAGGTGGTGGGCCAAATCCTGGGCCACTGTAAAAAAAAAAAAGAGATCAGAATTAAAACCAACTAAAATAAAAAATCATTAAACATATACATTTCAAGTTTTTATACATTATTAAAAATATGAAACAGGAAGCACTCTGAAGTTCTGTCAGGCTTAATTGCCTCTCTGTTGTTTTCCCACTTGTTTCCTTTTTAAATCATTTACAGGTGAAAATGGAATAATGTTAATTTCTAAATGAAAAAAAAATTCCATAGCTAGTAATGGCAGAGGTCCAAATGCACATATAAAATGATATCACATATGTACTGTACCAGTATGACAGAGTCTTGGGAGTGATGGCACGTACTACAGTCAAACTAGAAATATCAACACACCTGCATCTAAATATTTCTTCATAATAGCATTTATCAAAAATCCCCAATGTCTCTAAAATGGAACTATATACTTTGTACATCAGTGCATGCATTACTAGATATTATAACACCTATGAGAAACACTCACCCTGCTGCCGTCTCTTTCCCAGAGTAATTATTCTCCACTCCAAAGCTGCCAGCATTTGGCCTGGACAGCGCCCTGAACACCTGCATCAGTTGCTCATCCAGTGGCATGGGTTGTGCAGTGCCCTCAGGATCTGTGGTAGCTCTGATATTCAGGGCCTCCAGGGCAGGACGGAGGGCCACTATCTTGGCTGCCTGGCTAAATGGCATCTTCAGATTTAACCTGTGTGTGGACATATGACAAGAAGGGAATGAATTTGACTGGAAATTGTTCATGTCTGAATGAAGTGTTTGAATGCAGTTTACTTCACTTATATGTACATGTGTTGTTATTTTCTTAATTTCTAAAATCTCATCCTTTTTTTTCCATTTCCAAGTTGCCACCTTTGACTTTTTGATGTACAAAATGAGTACTATTTTCAAACTTTTTATATCAGTTTCTGTAAAGTATTGGCTAATAAAAAAAAACAAAAAACAATCACAATCTCAAATTACATTACATAGTCCCAATACTAATTTCTAACAACTGGATACACTATATTAAGAACTTCGTATATTAAGGACTACATATATTTAAAACATACCAGTCATCCAGGATAATATAATATATAAATAACTTTGTATCCTATTTCTACATATAAAACATACCAGCCATCCAGGATAACACAATATATTAAATAACTTTGTATCCTATTTCTACATATAAAACATACCAACCATCCAGGATAACACAATATATAAATGACTTTGTATCCTATTTCTACATATAAAACATACCAGCCATCCAGGATAATCATCCCATTTTCAGCCTTCACAGAGCGTGCAGCAAATATGAGAAGCTGTATTGGAGACACCATGGTCATCTGTTTACATGACACTGCTCGCGTACGGATCTACAAGAACAAAGACAAGAATTATATTCATTTTTGTAAAAAAATTATTCATATCTAAAATAAAAGAAACATCACTGAAATATTGCATGAAAGAAATGAATTGTCGACATGAAGTTTCATTTCATTTGTTAAAATTGGCTGAATAAACTGCCTCGGGGATATGTTTGAGGGTGGATTACTTTGTAATTAACGAAAAATTAATAATTTTTTTTTACTAAAATGGTTTTTATAAATAAAGGGTTATGAAAAATGTAACTGTAATATTTGCTAGTTACCTATAACTAATTCCTATACCAAAACAAGGAAATGTCACAGCATTTGTGTAGCAGATACAAGAGAGTGTATGATTTTGAAAATATACCTTTTCTCCAAACACAAAGAAAGGTGTTGGAAATGTCTGTTCTCTATTGCTGCAGTTGACTGAAGACTTGTGAATCAGAGCAGCTCTACTCTCTGTAGTCAGAACCTTCCTCTTCTCTTTGTGGTAACACACATTGGGGTAAAGACCCAGGCACAGCAAGGATATCACCTGATAATGTGGATAATCTTATACTATGTGGCATGAAAACACAGGTTAATTGATAGCAGTGTTCTCAAAGAAAGAAATTTTGAACTGTGATGTCAACCTGGACACTGAGTGATATCTAACATAATCTGTACCTGTTCATCTATAATAATGTATAGGTTACATATAGGTTTGAATTGGGGTCAGTATGTAATCCATGACACCTTAAAAAGTATGGCAGATGAGAAAGATAAAATATAAGTACAACAAGAATTAAATTTTTACAAAAAATAGCTTCCGCATATTACTTCTGTTCCTGAAGCTTTACACATTTTGCCAATAGCTTTTTCAGACAAAGACACTCTTAAGAGTTGGAAAAAAAATAATGCCAATAAGAATTCTAACAGCCACCTACCACATCTAATTTACTGTCTGGACCTGAAGAGTTGAACATCTGTGGGTAGAGGCTTTCCTCTGGAAACCCAGCATTCACCAGGATATCACGAAGTTGGTTCTGGAAATTACAGAGAAAAAATATTGAGAATATATGAAATACTAAACCTAGTGTAACATGTGGTTTAAAATATTATTTGGTATGGTGGGACAGTAAGGTTAACATCATCATTTCAGTCAACAGGATTAGCTGATCACGTCTCAATATTTTATATTTATATGAATTTTTATATAAAATACAAAATCCTTAACTTACTATTATCAACATATGTTAAACAATACTACATACCTATACTGAAATACATGCACAGTTACAATCATTATAATTTTTTAGACAAAACTGTCAGCAGTAATTAAAGGATCTTAACTAGAAATGATTTTCAGCATAACTTTTCAGAAATGCAAAAACTGTTCTCTGAATACTGTCCACTGCCAGCTATGTGACNTTGTCAGTACTGTGAGGAAAACAACCACATTATTGTCAGTACTGTGAAGAAAACAACCACATTATTGTCAGTACTGTGAGGAAAACAACTACATTATTGTCAGTACTGTGAGGAAAACAACCACATTATTGACAATACTGTTATTAATGCTAACATCAATGATAAAGCTGCAATATGGCATTATGCATCAAGATGTATCAGTATCATTAATTTAAAGCCATCAAAGATTAAAACAATATATAAAATGCATGTGCACAGGCACGTTTAATTGTACAAAAGCACACACACACACACACACGCATGCACGCACACGCACGCACACACACACACACACACAAGTGGACCTACTAAAAGATACAGCCATAAATGATCATCTTTCCCAGTCTGGGCTCTATTGGCAACTTGGCCAGGATTCTCCCAAGAGGGGTCAACTCATTGTTCCTGTCCAAGGCACCCATCTCTAAAATTCAGACATTAAATACAGAGTTTTCAAAAACATTTTTGATAACCTATAAGAAACAACAAAAACTATGTTTCTTTTTTAGTTGAAGTTAGTTTCAGTATTTGACATGACACTGTTTATGTTGAGACAATATATGAATAGGCATCCTGTGTTATTATAAATAAGTAAAAAAAAAAAACATGCATGACAGTTTGCTAAAGGCACACCCAAGCATAGCAAACCTTTCAGTAAGGCTTCAGCTTCAATGACTGCATCAATAGGTGGCGGTTCCACAGCTTTGGCCAAGAAAGGACCAATCTCTCCAAGCCTCAGTAACTTGATGCTCAGTGCCAATTCATGAAGTGGTGTACGGAAAATCTCAGGGGTAGTGTGCTGTTCTAATCTAAATTTGGCAAAATGGTCATCAAATTTTCAAAAAGCTTTAGATGCTTTTATATTACTTTTTCGAAACACAATTAAAACAAATAAAATTAATTTAAATGAACAGCTTTTATTTTTTATAATTCATATATTAATTAATCAATGATATATTACTTAATGCCATACAATATGATCTCATCAATGAAAATATCCCAAAAAGCAATTTCAAGTATCAAATGAGAAAAACTGTTAAACTGTCAATCATTCATAGAATGTCTTACTTTGATAGTTGTACAACTAATCTCTTTGTCTATCCCATACCTTTCATATCTGGCTCTACTACACAAGTGGAAGCAGAACCCTGGTCTTACACGTCCTGCCCTCCCCCTCCTTTGTTCTAGGTTTGTCTTGGAGGCCCACACAGTGGCATAGTTGGTCATGTTATTATGGGATGTAAACAGCTTCATTTTGGCTCTGGAAAAAAAAAACATTTGTATGAGATGTTAGCTGGCACAATTTTGACATTGTTATAGATATGGATATTTCAAACTGAAAAATGGTGCTCATTTTGTGTCATTGGAGACAAATCAGAGCTACATTTATTCTCTAAAAAGGAATAGTTTATACTAAATCAATGTGATACTTGTATTTTTCTGCCAGTGATACAAATTTATATTGCAAGTGTTAGAGCCACAATCAAATTTATTTGAATATTACACATTTCTTTGCCTTCTCAACATTTTATTACTTGAAAATAAATTTAACCAAATCATACTTCATTTCTTAATTATATAATTCATTACTTTTTTCATACTTAATTCTATTGTCACTAGCTTACTTGCAAGAGTCAATGACATAAACAACATCATTGATTGTGATACTGGTCTCAGCAATGTTGGTGGACAGAATGATCTGAAATAAGTGAGAATATTTTGCTACACTAATCCAAACTTCACTACTGGTGACAAATATAATATATATCATTACGTGTCAAATTACTTAAAAGGCTCTTATTACATATCAAAATTCACAATTCTAACAGCTCATAATCTGTGAAGTATGATGACAGATAGGTCCATGGAGCAGGGGTACTGGCTTAACCTTGTCACAATAATAATGTAAAAGTAACATTCTTTAACAAAGACAAATACAGTGATTTGTATTAAACCAACCATACCTTTGTAACACCTTCAGGTACTGGCTCAAAAACCTTGTGTTGGTCTTCTCTTGGGATTTGGGAATGGAGTGGAAGCAGACGATATGCAGGGCCGCCTGAAAGACACAAATTTTATGTGTAAACCAACTGATGTAAATATAATAGTTTTTACTTTGAAAAGTTAAAATGTGTAGAAAAAACTAACCAGAACAGGCATTTCTGCATTTTACTGAAATAGTTCTAATGTACATTGTCATGAAAATACTCTGTGTAAAATACTCTTCAATGTTATCAAGAATGGCTTAAACAAACATACTCATTAAATCTTTGCCTGATTCTAGGACAATTTCCCCCCCCCCCCCGGACAATTACCCCCCCCCCCCAGGACAATTACCCCCCAAGAAATATCTATTTATACACAAACATAATGTAAAAAGTGTAAAGTTTAAAACATTTCATCCATTTTATTAATATTTTTAGTGTGATAATGCAACTTGATCATGAAACAAATTATTTTATAACAAATTCCTTTTTCATATCGTACTAGTACAGAAAGTTTTATTAAACATCTGATCAAAGTATAACCACCTATCCTTCAGGTAAAGGTTGGGTAAACAGATAAACAGGTAAACAGATATTTTATGAATATTTTTTGTGGTGGGTAGTGAGTAGGTGGGTAGTGGTCAAGCAATTAAAAGTGACAAATAATCAAAGGGATACCTGGATAAGCGAGAAAATCTGTTAACCCAACCTCTCCCTAGAGATGCACCTTGATTCAAGGGGTGGGTGGGGGTGGGGTGGGGGGGAATTGTCCTGATACCCTAAGTATTAACAATAAGGCAGCAAAGCTGTCAAATGTACAGACAAAAAGCAGGAAATAACAAAAAAGGCTACTGTCAATTCTGATGCAAAAATACATTATGTTAAGCTGCAAATTCAACATCAAATTTTAATTATGCTCAACAGGTAATACCAACGTAAGTTAAATGTGTAACAAACATAAGGCTTCAGGCCCATGGGAGTTCAAGTTCACACTTTGAAAATGCATAACTTCCAGAAAAGGAAGCCAATTAGACTGCTTTTCCAACTCAGGCTGCATGTCGATTTTTGGAATCGATTACTCCTGAGAGTTTCATGACAACAGGCCTATCGTTTTTCCTTGAAATGTGTTTACAGTGTTGCATATATGTTGAAAAGTGAAAAAAAAAAGCATAACTTCTACAATAATGGCCCGATCATCCTGATTTTCGAACTTGACCTGCATTTTATGAAAATTCATCAGCTCTATAAATATAAAGCCCAAAAGTAAAACTGCCTTCCACTTATCGTGTTTACAATGAAAGTGCAAGGCGCCGGCGTCGGCGATGATGGCGA